TCCTGAGTAGCTGGGACTATAGGTGCCTGTCACAACGCCCCACTATTTTTTTTTTCTTTTTTTGTTGCAGTTTGGCTGGGGCCGGGTTTGAACCCACCACCCCTAGCATATGGGGCCAGTGCCCTACTCACTGAGCCACAGGTGCTGCCCTACAATAAATTTTTTTAATGATTTTTCTTTTTTGAGACAGAGTCTTATTATGTCACCCTCAGTAGAGTGCTATGGTGTCACAGCTCACAGCAACCTCCAACTCTTGGGCTTAAGTGATTCTCTTGCCTCAGCCTGCCAAATAGCTGGAACTACAGGGACCTGCCACAACGCTCAGCTAATTTTTAATGATTTCCTAAAAGCCTCCCAGTGAATTTCTTCCCGGTTGGAAATCTTACCCCATCTCACCCAGGTGGAATGAAGTCATTTTAATTGCACAAACCAGGCCTCAGTTTTCCTTTCGTCTCGCACCTCAGAATAATCTTTAATCTTTGGCTCTGTAACCTTTCATTTGGTGCCAAACCTGGGCTGGGGAGAAGCCCCTTCAGGGGGCCGAAGTATACCCCATCGGACCCAGCTAAGTGGACTCTTCTTCTAAGACGAAAGACAACCGGAAACCTCTCTGACTCTCCCTAAACTTTATCCATCTACTGGTGAGATGAACATTTGTCTAAAACTACTTTTCTAAACCTTTTTTAACTTCTCTTCCTATCCTCTACTCTTAACTTCCTTTTTCCCTCTCCCTCCATCTCTGGGTGTCTCCCTTCTCCTCCATTTATTTTCTGGCTGGTTTCACACGTGGAAGCCTTGCTTCCCTGATCTCAGTCTTGGCCACCCCAGCAAGCCAGGCTCGCCTGTCCGTCCAGTGCCTCATGTCTGGGGATGCCTTCTGGTAGGCCTGGGCTCTGGCTGGTTTCCCAGCCTCACTCCTCTGGTGCCCTATTGTGGGCCTAGAGGTCCACTGGCTAGTTAAGGTCATGTGCAGAGGCCAGGCCCTCTTTTGACCAAAGTCATATGTGGAGGGTCCGGGTAATCTCCCAGTGCCAGCCTCAATGAGCCAGGCTCATCAGTTCATTGCCCGACTGTGGGCTGGACCATTTTTGGTAGTTCTGTGAGCCAGACTCATCCATCTAGTCTGAATCACCATTTTTTCCGACTGGTCTGACTTTTTTCTTCCTCCTCCTCCATTCTCCTTCTAATCTCCTTTCTTTTCCTACCTCCACTTTTCAATATGAGGACCCCTCAGCCAGAGATTTCCCCTTGTTCACCTCTAAGCTACACTTTTACCTCCAGAGTCACACATTCCTCCTTCTTCACCTCTAAACTGCCTTTTGACTAATCTCAAGCCTCTACAGCTCTCTCCTGACCTCAAACCAAAACATCTCACTTTTTCCTGTAATACTGCTTGACCTACGTACAAGTTTGACAGTGGCTTACAGAGGCCTCAACATAGCACCTTCAATCTCTCAATTCTCATTGATCTCAATAATTACTGTCAAAAATTAGGCACATGTTCAGAGATCCCTTATATCCAGGCATTTCTCATGTGTTCATCCTGTGAACCCTCTCGGATTCTCCTGGCACGGGTAACACCAGCTTCTCCTGATACCCTTCCACAGCCCCTACTGCTCCTCTCCAACCCTCTTCCTATAATCCCTCCATTCTCTTGATCAGAACACCTGGGAAGTGTCTCTCTGTGGGATACCTCTCTCTATAACCTCCCATCCCTCACACATTCTCATTGCCCTCCAATCCCCACATCCCTATCCTTCCCTTAAATAATACCCCATCCCCCCTCTGTCCACTGCCCCCACCCCACCCTCTGTGCAGGTGGTAGGAAAAAAAATGGTGGAATTCCCTAGGGCCCTCAGACCTCCCAGTGAGATCCCATAGATCTGGCCTTCAAGGTGTGGCAGTGCCTCTTAGAGCTCTAGTATTGACTTCCACCATTAAGCAAAACTCGGCTACTTCTTAAAAAACTCTGTGAGGTATTCTGAAAAAAACAAAATCTTCCTCAGGATCATGCTGTAAGTGCAGCAAACTAGGTTTCTGAGCAAAACAGTGCCCCAAATCCACACACCCACCCCTAACCATGTCCAGCCTGCAGAAGTCTGGCTGCCCAGGTCTTTCTGAAGATCTGGTGCAGACACTCTCAGAACATGGCTGAAATTCCCTCCTGAACCTAGCTGCAAAAGAAGGATGACCCTGCAGGAAATCATAATGCCTCCTGATGCAGTCCTGGAAAACTGAACTCTAGGTATTTTTACTTATAGAAGGTAAGTCGATCTTTTCTAACAAACACGGGAGCAACTTCATCCACGCTGACACCTTAAAAAAACCTCTAAAATGGGTAGAGATCTTGGTAATGGGTATTAAATGGAAATTTCAACTGTTTCCTGCCCCTCACTGTCCATCTTTCTCTTTGGTTATTGTCTGATAAGGTCACTAATTATGATTTTTTCTTGTTCTCAGTTTCAAATCAGTAACCCTCCACCTATATCTTGATGTATTAACCCAGGTGTCCTCAAACTATGGCCCAAGGGCCACATGCAGCCCACCTAGGACATTTATCCGGCCTGCCGGGTGTTTTTGCCACCGCTGCCTGTCCTGCTGCTGACTCGTCCCAGTTCCGCAGTCCAGCCCTACAACGGTCTGAGGGACAGTGAACTGGCCCCCTGTTTAAAAAGTTTGAGGACCCCTATATTAACCAATCACCCCAAAACAACTTCTCATATCCTTGCCTTACTGGATACCAACCGGCTTAGACTGAAAAAGCCAAAGAGTCCCAGTAAATGCCACTCCCTCACCCCATTTCCCCCCTGTCCCATTCTCTTTACAGGTAGCCCACACAGCCATTCTTCATGCAGGAAGTAGTGACAGAGATACCATGCCCACCAACCCACCTCCTTATTATAAACAAAAAAGACTGGAATGATAGAGTCAAACCCTGCCCAAGTAGGGTGTACCTCCCTAAAAGAATTAACCCCTACCCTCTCCCACTAGATGCCTCACCTAAGAAAGATGAGTGGGTCAACACCCTACCCTACCTCATCAGATGTCCCATCTAGGAAAGGTAAATGGGCCAACACCCACCCTTACAACATATGTCCAACCCAGGAAAGGGAATGTCCTGACTTCTATCTTCCTGACCTTTAAAACCCCCATCCACCATTACCCATGTGTGAATTTCTTCCCAGTTGGAAATCTTACCCCACTTGCACCCAGGTGGAATAAAGCCATTTTAATTGCAAAATAATAATAAATAAAAGCTTCTGCGTGGAAAATCATATTGTTGATTTTTGTGACTTGGGAAGTTTTACTAATATATTTATTAAACAGGGGAAAGACCCTGTTGGAAAATAAAAGGTCCAGAGAATGATGTTAGCATTGCTCATATTGGGGTCATAGGTTCATGGGTCATTTTTATTTCCTGTAGTTTTTTGCTTTCCTGTATTTTCCAAAATTGCTAAACGGACACAATGTACTTACATAACTAGAGAAAAATGTTTAGAAACAATCCCTGGGGAGCTGAAGAGTACGGCATAGACGGGGTGGGCGGGTGAGGGCTTTTGCTTGGCCTGTCACCCCAACTTACCTCTCGTTCCAGGCACACGACACATTCTGAGGGCTGCACTTCCAGCTCTGCAGGGGGTGCTGATGGCCTTACTGACTCAGCAGGCTCCAGGGGGGCTGTGGGAGGCTCACCCTTGGGTGGTTTCAGCTCTGTAAGAACCAGAGGGACAGACTAAGCCAAGATCATCCCCAATGATCTCACCCCAGGAGCTCCCCTAGCCCTGCCTGTGAGTGAGCTAGAAGGTGGGGGGTGCCTCTGGGCTCACAGCCAGGGGAAGGACTCCCCTTCCCTTATGCCTTCTTCTCCCTCTTCTCTGGTCCTTGTTCTCCACCTGCAGGATAGAACAGGATACCTCTCTCTGCCCTGGTACATGGCTATGCTGGCAGAGATGGCTGTTTAATGAGGGGGGGCCTTTGGTCCCTCATAGAAGGATGCTTTGTAGCTACCCTGCCAGTAGGCCTTGGCGCTTTGCAGATGAGAATGAAGAGAAGACAAGTTACTTGCCCAGGGCTGCACAGAGACAGAGTCCAGGAGCCCTTGGGTAGGGGTGCTGGGGTGGAATGGGCGCACCCTCAGCTTCTCCACCAGGCTGCCCAGGAGACAGACTGTGCCACTGCCCCTCAGGTGGCAGGTGAGCAGGGAACAGAATGAGAAGCCCCCTCAAGTCTGTTTCCCTTTCTCCTCCCACTCCCACCCCTGCTGAGCCCCCTGGCAGAGCCACCAGCTGTGGTCACTCTACCCTGCAGACAGCATCCCCTACCCGGTCCTAAGCAGTTTGAGGCAGGATGTCAGAACTGGCCCTTACAAACACTAAGTCTCTTTCTTATTGTCATGCAGTGTGAGCCACTGACTTCCCCAACTCTTTTTTTTTTGAGACAGAGCCTCAAGCTGTCCCCCTGGGTAGAGTGCTATGGCTTCACTGCTCACAGCAACCTCCAACTCCTGGGCTCAAGCGAGTCTCCTGCCTCCGCCTCCCAAGTAGCTGGGACCACAGGCGCCCGCCACAACGCCCGGCTATTTTTTGGTTGCAGCCATTATTGTTGTTTGGCGGGTCCGGGTTGGATTCAAACCCGCCACCTTAGGTGTACGTGGCTGGCGCCTTAGCCGCTTGAGCCACAGGTGCCGAGCCGACTTCCCCAACTCTTTCTCTGTCCCAAGTCCTCACTCTGATCATGTTCACTTTATTCACTTATTCTATGGTTTGAATTACATGCATTATTTTTTAATAGGAAAAAAACTAAAGAGTTTTAAAAAGCTATTAGGACAACTCTAGCCCTCCAAGGATATCAGTGCTGTCCTCAAATATTGTAAAAGGGGTCTTCTATGTCATCTGAGGATTTCCAGTGCCTTCTGTTGCTGAGAAGGAGGGATGCCACCATGGTCCCTCCCCTGCCCACTGGCACAGCAGGGAGCCCTGGATGATGAGGCATCTGTTCTGTGCACAGGGACATGGGCCACATGGGCAGTCTGCTATGGAAGGAAGAACCTGGGGGTCAGCTCTGGGTCTGGTGGGATGGCGAGCTGCTGCCGGTCCTGAGCTCAAGGGGCTCAGAGGCGCTGTACCCAGCTCGGTGTGAAGGGGTAGCTATGAATCCTGCATACAGGATGGTTGTCTGTGGGGTGACCCCAACTCCTGATGCCAAACTCTCCTTGACCTCCAGCCTGAGAGCTGGAGGGGTCAATGCTGGGGAAACCTCCAGAAGGGACCTTTTTGTACATTGCTTAATGTTGAAAAGCTAGAAGTTTAAAGACCCTTTTTTAGGCTTTTTGTTTTTAGGGCTGTCCCCTGCTACCCCTGAATTCTGGCACAGCATCTCCACCTTTGCCTCTGTCCCTGGTCCTTGTCTTGGCCGCCATGCTATGGGCTCACCCAGCCTGCCCTCTCCTCTGTCCTTGTACTGGGTCCCTGGTCTCCTTCCCAGGGAGGCAGTAAAACCCAGTGGTTCCACCGTCTGCCAGCAGTGTAATCTTAGGGGAGACATGCTAACTTCTTTCTGCCTCAGTTTCCTCATCTCACAAATGAGGATAACAATAGTGTCTGCTTTACAAGACTGAAACACAGCTCCCATGACATGGTACATGTAAAGTGCTTGGCAAACGCTGGGCCCCAGATCATGCTTAGAACATATGCGACCCCTGACTCCACACCTCCTCCTTCTCCATGGGGCCTCCAAGATCTGCATTTGCCCTTTCTCAACCTGTCACTAACATCTCTCCATGTCCAAACTCCAGACCTGCCCCAGGCATAGCACTGGGCACACAGTGGGCTGGGCTGGTTTCTCTCACTAGTGTAAGGTCACTGGGTGTGTGGATCCCAGTGTCTGGAGAGTGGGTTTAGGAAAGGTTATGGAACAGGGAGCCAGGAGGGCATTTCTGTGCTATATGTAAACATTTCATTTTCCCATTTTTATGGTCTGTTTCTTCCATTTGTAAAATATGGCTCACCAATCCCTAAGCGTGTTCCTTAGGAGGGAACCTTACTGAATGGCAGGGGCTAGAACCAGCCCTGGGACCTGTCCTGACATGTAGGCATCTGAGTAGCCCCACAACAGTCCACACCTGCGGTTTGGGACCCTGCCTAGAAGAGGCCCTGCTACTACCTGGCCGGATCCTGGCTTCTTCCAGCAGTTCCTGGACTCTCCGTAGGATGCTGTGCTGCAGTCCAGCCTCTGAGACACCCACCTGTGGCAGTCAAGGAAAAGAAGCCTGTAGCCTGGGCTATGAGGAGCCTAATGCGTGGTGCAAAGCCACCGCGCACAGGCCCCCAGGACTGCCTGGCTCCTGGCACCTTCAGTGGAAGAGCAAAGGCCTTCCGGGACCCAGTGGGGCCTGGGGTTGGCATGAGGTAGTGCAGCATCACAGCTATGAAAGGGATCCCTACAGCTTGGGCCCCACAATTCAGTGTGGTAGCGGGGAAATAGGCCCAATAGGTAACCAGTACGAGTATCAACTTCAGTTTAGTGAGTGCTCCTGGGTGCCATGCACTGCACAGACAGTGTCACCTGCAGACCTCTTAACACTTCCCCACCAGGTAGGGAGGAGGGAAAAAGCTATTTTGAGGAGTAAACAGATCACTGTGATGTAAACAGCCTGGCTCATGTCTGGAAAGTAACCAGGGCTCAGGTAGAACTGTGTGGGGTTGTGATACTGTGGGCAGGGTGGGGGACTGAGCCAGACATTCCCAGGGCCTGTCTTGTCCCTGTAGTCTGTAGGAGGGGCTGTGTGGGGTAAGCAGCACCCACACTCCCAGGTTTTCCTAACAAGACAGGGTGCAGGGAACATGCAGGTAGGGGAGCACAAGGGTGAGCTTCTGGCCATCTGGAAGCAAGGAGGCCCTGGGCCATTTGATGATGACAGATGGCATCAAGAACTGTAGGAAGAACAAGTCACCCACGGCTGGGCAGACCCACCGGACTGCAGCTTCCCACCTTGGCCAGGTCCCCAGGGCTCATCTGGCTCAGCATGTCCAGTGAGATGCGGTGGTGGGCAAAGATGGGCAGGTAGTGCTCGGCTGACAGCTCCCCTAGTAATGCCACCAGCTGGCGCTCCATGCCTTCTTCCTATAAGACAGAGCCCTGGGAAAGATCTCATGAACCAGGAAAGAAGGGAGAACCTCCCGCATACAACGGGGAACCAGGGGTGGATATACATAAACAGCGTGTGGAATGTACTCTTGGGGTCATCCCACACAAGTGAACTTGCAAGCATGCTGAGTGTTTGTGTACCAGCGTCCTCTGCTGCTCTATCTGCAAACTTCAAAATAGCAAGCTGCTTACAGTCTGGGCAACACAGTGAAACTCCATTTCTTTTTTTCTTTTTTTTTTGAGACAGAGTTTCATTATGTTGCCGTCGGTAGAGTGCTATGGTGTTACTGCTCACAGCAACCTCAAACTCTTGGGCTTAAGTGATTCTCTTGCCTCAGCCTCTCAGTAGCTGGGACTAAAGGCAGCCGCCACAACACTCGGCTATTTTTTTGTTGCATTTGTCATTGTTTAGTTGGCCTGGGCTGGCTTTGAACCTGTCAGCCTGGGTATTGTGGCCGGTGCCATAACCATTGTGTTATAGGCACCAAGCGAAGACCCCATTCCTTAAACCAAATTGTTTTTATTTTTTATTTTTTTTTTGAGACGGAGCCTCAA